ATTTGTCCTAGGCAATTAATTCTTTCTTTTTAATATAAATTATTTATTATATTAAAGATATAGCTCAGTATTACTAGATGGTAACCATAATAATAACTGCATTTTATCAAATGATTTTTTTGGTATTTACTGGAATGATCATACATTTTTCAATACTATTGATATTTTGTTGAAATTATGATTACATTTCTGAAATAAATAGTACTTGATCTAAAATTGAAATTATTTAAATAAGTTTCTGTATTTCATTTGTAGCATTTTAGTTAAAATTCCCACATCAATTAAAGCAGTGTGGCATTCTAGGTGGGACAAGTGTTCAAGTCCAAATGGATCTTGCATTAGCTGTATTCAGTACTGTGTAGTAGTTAAAAGCATAAAAAATCATGGGCCCTCTGGTTAGAGACAACTAATTTACAATCCTTGCTCTCCTACTTAATAGTGTTGTTACTTTGCTCCTTTGGGAAAGCCTCACTTTTCCTATTTTTCACATGGGCCCATAATACTACTTATCACGTAGGGATTGATGTGAGAATTAAATGGGCTACCATGTGCCTAGTATGGAATAGTTCCACTTTAAATCGTTGCTTTAATAATTGTCATATTTCTCAGTGACAATAGGCTTCCTTTTCTTTTTTATAACATTCTTAACTTTTGTATTATTCTTATTCTTTGTAGTACTGGTATCTGTATCATTCTAGGTACATTTCCCTCTGAGGATACTTTTAAGAAATATACCATACTTTTCAATGATCAAGGATAATTCATATACTATATTCTTCAAAGGCTGGAGTGGAGTGAAAAATCACCTTGTAAACCCATCAGGCCCAAGTGTGTTTTGGAGAATGGAGGATGAAGTTCTTTAATATTTGTCTTGTTTTCTTCTGTATTTATTAGAATATACCCAGGTAAGTTTGACAATTTTGTCCAAGTTAAAACAAACAAAGCCTTGAATTTCAGAAATTTTATTTGCAACCCAAGAATTGTTGATCAATTTATTTTCTATGCTTGCAATTATTTCTGTATTCTGCTTGTCACAAGATTGCCTTAGCTTTTATTCTGTAAGAAATGCAGCCTGCACCATTTTACAAACACGTTACCTTGAAAGCCTACATTTATTTGATCATTCAAACTTTTTTTAACAAGCAGATCCTGCTTTTTCTTCTGTTTCTTTAGTTGAGACCTTTCTGTGAACCCCAAACTCCAAATCTTTAACTCTGAATGAAAAAGGCTTTTTCAAGAATGAATGAATAATAAATAATGCCTGTAGCTCTTGAACCACCCTTCAATGCCAGAGGCTTTCTTTCCCAAAAGACCACAAATGTTACCGTGGGGCTGCAGCCTGCAGAGCCATCCCTGGAACACAGCAACAGCAAATAACAGTTCCACGGATTCAAAACAGGAAGGAGATCCTTCAGCTTTTGTCCATAGCATGGCCCTGCTGATATGTTCAATAGCACAGGTTGACTCTGTTTTTAAGAGAATAACAAATGATTTATGTGGCTTAGAAGAGCAATGAAATGATAATTGCGATAGAATATAATGACAGCTCAAAAATTCCTTAAAATCACGGTGCACTAATATACCAGAGTATAACTTTTCACTTCTTCAGCATCTCTAAAAACACAGAAACATTTGTTTGGTGGTGGATTACAATAATCCTTTTGTTACTAAATCATTACATAACTTTTAGAATTCTTTCCTGCACCAGTCAAAATTAATTATATTTTATTGGAAAAACATGCTACTTGGAAGGCTGTGACATCTTTACTCAGAGTCTTAGTCTTAAATTTTTATATGTAAGTGTCCATATTGAGCTTTAAGACACAGATCTTGGTAGGAATGTCTGAGGTGTATTTAAATATTTGCTTACATGCCACCACTTGACTGGCTGGGGCAGAGGGCAAGTGTTGCAAGACACTGACCTTTGAAGGCACATCAGGAGAATGGTTCTGAGAGGATCCCCAAATGCAATGGAGGAACAGGTGTGAGCATGGAGTGACTATAATATACATACATTATGCTAAGAACCTATCCAGGCTGTCAGTCAGTATATAACTCTATTTTTCCTGGGTCATGTCTCCAACCATGTTCAAGAAGAACAGAAGAGAAAATGTTGGGTAGTTTTGGCCACTCCACTAAAGTGGAAAGTAATTCCAAGGTGAGTCTACTCCAGAGAGCAAATTGACCCTTTTAAAATGCAGAGGGGGAGGAAACAGTAATTTCCCAAGGCTTTTGAAAATTCTTCCCAGTGGCTGGGTGACAAGGAAATTTGCCTAGCTTCATTTGTGGAGGTCATATCACCCTTGGTAAAAGGAAGACAGTTTACCAGGCTAAAATTTGTTTATAAGGTTACTCTCCCCTGCAGTGTGGGAAAGAGAATAATAAAATCTCATTTGCAATTTTCACTGGCCAGAAATTTTAAGCAACAGACAATGTGGAAGAAATAGCAAAATGACCAATGTTTGCTTTACATTTATAATAAAACAGTTATTTCAGCCACTCAAGAACAATAAAATTGAGCCAGTTTCTGTGGTATTAGGGAAACCCCAAGTGTCCCGCAGGACATGTGGCTTGCAATAGTGGACAGAGGTAAAAGGACTGGTGTTGACCCAGGTTAGGTTTAGTATAAAGACTTCTTTGTTGACTCACAGCAATAACAGTTCCTCATTTGTTAGATCATTGGATATAAAGTTATATAATTCAGCCTTGCCCTTCTCTCAGCCTCCTGTGGTAGCCAACATCTACTTTTAGCTGTGGTAGTTTCTGGACTGCCAAAGCCATTTCCTATATGTTAGACCAATCTGACTTTTACAGTAATACAGGTAACTTGGCAAATTTGAAGAAAGGTGGGGAGAGGTAGTTAGGAATTTGTGAGTCACAAGAAACTCCTTCTCTGTTTAACTTATGCTAGGATTATCCATATTACAAAGCATCAGGCACTGTTCCTGCACATAGTCCTGATGACTTTCACAGTTCTTATCAAATGCCATTGGGAATTCTCTCAATTATTTGAAAGGCAGTTTGTACCCAGTCTTTGTCTCCCAACCATTAGGATCCCATTCCTATTATCTTGCATTTAACAAACAGAGATTGATTTCTTGCCTAAAATTAGCTGGAGAATTCTATTTGGATCAGTCCAGCAGAATTAAAAAGTATAATTAGCCCGAGAATTCACTCCACTCCTCAACCTAACTGCTGCTTAAATATCTCCTGCAATGTTTTTGCACTTTCTGCAGAGCATGTAGAACTCAGTCCTCGATGAAGCCATTGATTGCAGGAAAGCAGCCATGAATTGCTATGAGCTTGTCACTGCCGATCCTGCATATGCGTGTGTTATCAACTACAATTGTCCTCATAAAATTAAATAAAAGCACGCATTTATTATTGTGAGGCTCCAATTAAGGGACAGCTGGTGCTCCTATTACACTTGCATTAAATCGAAACTTGTAATTTAGCTGTCCAGATGCACACTTTTTAATCAAAATATAAAATTGCATTTGCTTTGTCCATTTTCCATTCAAAAGTATCTGGAAGCTTACCTCAGGCTCCTCCTACCCTGCAAACTCCTTCGAAGAAGGGGAACTATTTGCACTGATCAACATTTTCCTCTACTAGGTTCTTAGAGGGAAATGAAAAATTGGGGGCATTTATGGAAGGGTAAGGACCCACAAAGGCAGCTGGTGAGTATTTATTTATTCATTCGGCAGTGAGTCGCTCTATTTATTGACTAGGGTCGTTTTGGGAATACCTCTTTTGCCTCACCTGTCTCAGAAATGTCTATAAGCCCACAGCTTTGAGGCACACTGCATTTTCCATTGGCACTTCAGTTTCTGAGGCTCTAGAAACTTTGCTGTCGCCCCCTCCCACCCGGGATGTGTCCATACTCCATGTGTTTTCGTTTTGGAATAAGCCCAGCGTTATGATTTGCCCCCCTTCCCTTAATAATGAAATGACAAAGGGCATTCGCAGCGGGGGCTGGGCGGCCAGGTTTGGGGGAGAGGCGCCACACCCCCTGAGAATAAAGCCCACGCTGCACTCTCTGAAAACCCTGCACGAAGGAACGAATCACACAAAGAATATATTTCGCGACGAAACAGCGCCCTACAGGAAGAAAGTGCCCGCACTCGGAGCGTGATCAGGAGCGCGACTTTTTGGCGCTCTTTGGGAGCAGCGAGAGGGAGGCAGAGGACAGAGAGTCCCCGGGTGGGCGCCGGAGCCCAGGCAGCACGCGCCCGAATTCCCGCGCGTTCCTCAGCGGCGAGCCAAGGCTGGAGCCCAGCGCCTAGCCAGGTGAGGTCGGCGGCCGCGGCGAAGTGGGGCGCGCTGCACTACCTGGCCGGGCGGGGCGGGGCCAGGCGGCTGGGGACGGCCGCGAGCCGCTTCCGAACCCCGCGCCTGCTGCCGGCGCTCGCGGCTCCACTGCCTTGTAGAGTTTCGCGGGAGTTGCGTTTTGGCGCCTAAAGCCCCCTCGCGAGCGCCGCTCCCTCAGCGCGACTGGTGTGTCAGGCACAGGGCACCGGAGAACTGTGGCCCCAGCGGCCTGGCCCGGGCTACTCGGGTCAGCGGACTCCGCGAGGGGACATCTGGTTTAGGGCACTGACCAGAACGGGAGGGCACGCCTTTGGCTAGGACCGGGCGGGGTTTGGGCCGGGGTTGCTATGGCAGCTTCTAGCCCGGGCGGGAGCCCCACGCCCGCCCGCCGCTGCAAGGGAGCTGGGGCGCTCTGAGGTGTGCTCCAAGTGGACTGAACCAAGAGGATGGGAGAAAGGGGGAGGGCTGGCCCGGGTCCCCCGTCCCCTCCCCCAGTCCGTTGCCGGCCCCGGGAAAGGGCCCCAGTGGAGTCCAGAAAATAAAATATTCTTTCCTCCGGGCTTGAAAGGAGGCTTGCAAAAGCACAGGGGTGGCACGGGGACGAGGGAAGCGGAGGGACTGTCGCCTCCATTCGGGAGTCCTCATGTGCGTGTCTCCAGACTTGACATTTTATACCCCACAGCGGCCGACTCAGAGCAGGGTAGCACGTCCCAGCCCTGAAGTTATGTAGGTGGGGCGGGCTTTAATTTGCTTATATCTAATGATTTGAGGAACCTCGCTTTAAAATGGCGGCATTCAGTATACACCCCTGCTAAAGGCTCTCCCGGCACCGGGGCCACCTCGCGCAGCGCTGCTTTTGCTTCTGCCGCTAACACATGGCATGTGCCGCTGTCGCTGCCGCTGCCCCTACTGCTGCCGCTGAGAGCAGGGCCCCTTAGCCTCTGGGTTTGCGCTAGCAGCATAAGGTAAGGCTGGAGATAAGTTGGGGTTTGTGAGAGTGGCTGCCTTTTTTAGGACGCGAAGAAATACAATGATTTTAAACTTTATTTTACAAAATGGCAAATAGAAGGAATATTAATACTGCAACTTTGTTGGAATTTAGAGCTTTTATCTCCCTCCTTTTTTCTCCTCTTTCCTTCTTTTTTTCCCCTTGCTCTCATCTCTTTAAATAAATTGAAAGGAACTTCTTGCATGGCATACCATCAGCAAATGCTTTTAACAACCCATCTCCCCATTTCCACTGCGATACCGGTATCGTGAGCAGTGCCACAGCTTGCTTGAAAAACCAGGTCTCTTCCCGCCCTGGATCAAGACATTTGGGCAGCTTACTGTTACTGCCAGGCTCTGAAGGGAATGAGAGTGGATTTTGGGTAGATCTTAGGAGAGTGTTAAAAAGGTAACTTTAGCTTTTAACACTCACACAATATGCTTTTATGGTAAGAAACTGAAATTAAATCCAGACTAAAAATGAAAGTTGGAATTTAAGTGATTCATTTATGTAGTTTTATGATTGGGATAGACCTACTGTGTGTTTTCCTGAACACTGTCTATTGGTTGGTATATATAGGTACAATATATAAATTCATATTGGTCTAATTAGTGTGTTTTAGAGGAATTTTCTCTGAGATATTCTTAAATTGCTATTTTTAAGTTGGGCTCAGATCCTCGCAGCCTCTCCATATACATCTATAAAGTTCATGGGGAAGCATCAATTAAAACTAAACTGTTGCAGTATTTAATTTTTAAATGATTGGAAATTTTTCACTATGCTGGCTTCCTCATTTAACCAATAAGTTTTTGGGTGATTACTGGTATAATGGCCAGAAAGCACACTGTTGATATAGCTGTATTGACTAGATATCAATGCTTAATATAATTTGCCTGGGTTTTTCCTTTTCTCTCCCCCCTACCTCAGATGAAAGGCATGTTTGACATTGAGACTTACAAGAGACCTTGGATTTTTCCTTTTTATATTCACATTTTGTCTTTTACTGATGCAGATTTAGTCCTTGATGTTTAAATACATTTTAAATTAATTTAATTTTTAATTTGCAATACTTTGGAGGGATGCTTTCATATTTATAAAAACTTTTCCAAATATAAGCTAAATAGTCTTTTGCCCACAGACCAGCTGATATTATTCTATCCCAGTCCACATTTTACTTCTCCCAGCACAGTGGACTTACTCTTTCCATTAAGTTTAGCAAGTGTCTGGAAAGGATGGGGTGTGGGGGGGGAGTGTTGCTTTGCAACTATTAAAGCATGGTATAGTTTTTCTACCCAGGTGCTATAGTCTACCTAGAAACAAAGAACAGAACTGCTTACAATGTGATTTACTATATAGTAAATTTCACATCACTTTTTAAGATTATTTTTGAGAGACTGGCTGTGGGGGCAGTTCATTTCTTCATGCCTGAGGGTCCCTATACATACAGCAATAGATTAACTTGAATTTTTTCAATGGGACGATAACAAATAAGCACTTCTTCCATTTTTAGTGATTACATGCTTAGATCCCAGTTCTGTAAGCTTTGATTCTGGATGTGATTCCTTGTTGCTGAACAACTTTGGACCAAATGCATCCTTTTTTTTTTTTTTAAAGTGAAAATACTAAACCTTGAGGCCAGAGTAAACAAGCTAAGTTGGTGTTACTGACTTAGGAGGAAATTTTGCCAGTTACCATTCTGCTGCCATATATAGTGATGAGATTGGAAATCTTGTATGGAAACAAGGAAAGGAGTTTGTCAGAAAAAAAATTTTTTGAGAGAGAACTGATATAGTGCTGGGGTATAGGTGGTGACTGCATGCTTTGCTCTACTTCTAAGATCTACTTCATTTCTTTGATTTCCTTTACTGCCTTAAGCACTCATAATGACTCCCAGGACTATTATAAAATAGCTTTCCCCCCTCAACTGTCCACTTCAGGCATTTCACAACAGCTGCTTTTTAAGGAGGATAAAACCTATGGTTATGAGCTGGTAGCCAAAGTAGCTTTTATATTATTCCCTTGCACCTATCCTACACCTAAATAATACTTTGCACAAAGTAGGTGCTTAATAAATGTTGAATTAAAAAGAAAATGTATAGCTTATAAACCCATGAGGAGCATGCTTGGGCACAGCTTTTAATTTAAATGGAAGACTTTTTGTGCGCTTACAAGAATCTAAATTTTAAAATTGATTTGAATTTATATTCCCCTAATTGTCTGTATTCTACTTGGCTCTCATTGTACTTTACAGGCACTTGTGTAAGACATTATTTTAATCAGTAGGTGCATTATTATCTGTCCAGCTTGACAGTATGAAAAAGGGAAAAAAACAGCTTAGGAATAAAAAAGGTTTTTGTCTTTTGAGTGGCTGTACAGCACTGTACATGCTGGATCAGTGATAGTCCCTCGGCTGTTGTACAGATGTTGACAATATAGTTTGAAGTACACTTTGGTTCTGTACCCAGCTGTCTTTGTATGTGAGGTAAGGGGAGAAGGAAGGAAGGGAGTGAGAAGCCCTGAAGTGATGGAAGATTTTTATTCATAAAATTTTACTTACCCTGCTTATGTTACAATAAATTCAGGAAGGTGGCAGAATTTCTCTGTTTTGAAATAAATTATGTTGTCTGATAGGATTACAAACAGGGAATGGGGCAGAGCAGACAAAAATAAGTTACAGTACATGTTTGACAAGTAATTTGATCCTGTAATTAAAGTTAGATAATGGCCACTGCCATGTTAAAACTATCAAATTTCTAAAAGAGATGGCAGGATACACTCACCTTTATTTTATCCAGGCGCTTCCATGCTGGCAAGTTTTCTCATGACAACATCTACTAGATTAAACAGATAGATTTCCCCCATTATAAATGTATGTTATGTCAAGAAAATGGAAATCAGAAATTATGCTTCATTGTGAGATTTTTCTGCCTCCCCTTAGGTGTGCTGTGTTTCCTTACTTCGAAAATAGAAACCCGAGGGCCTGGAGCTGTAGCTCAGTGGGAGAACACTTGCCTAGCACGTGTGAGGCACTGAGTTTGATCTTTAGCACTGCACAAAAATAAATAAATAAAATAAAGGTATTGTGTCCATCTACAATTAAAAATAAAAAAGTGGAAATTTGAGTTTCAGATAAAATGAAGTGGATAATTTCCTTCTATGAGAATAACCTGTCTGAGAGCAAGTAGCTTATCAACTAACTAACCAACAAACATGATGTATGATCAAGAAGGCCATTAGATCTATATTAATGAGGGATTTTTGATCTAAAGGAAACCAGAGGATTATATGGCATCCTACTCTTCCTCGGTGGTTATATATTGCCTCAAGACAGCCAAGTGACAAAATGGAAAGACAATCTTGAGAATTAGGATAAATTAGGTATCAATTACTTTATCAAGTGATAATGACATCCATGGTACCTAAAAGGGATCAGAAAATATTTCTTTTCAGGCCATTCTAGTAAGGGCACAGTAAAAATCCATCATTTTTTTTCTACTTGGTATTAAATTGAGTGACATTGTTTTAAAAAAATTGATGGGGAAAATAATAGAATCCAGGAAGTTGGACATTATTTTTGAGTAATAAAAGTACTCCCAAATGGCCTGGGACCACAGACACAAACACAATATATGTGTATGAATGCATAAATTAGTGGTCAGTTTAGAACAATTTTTACAGCTATGTATTCATTTCTCCTTGGAAGAATATAGAAAAAAATACACATTTTTACATCATTCTTCCAATTCTAAGAATTAAAAGAAAAATGTTCACAATAAATTATAAGAAATATTTAGCGTAAGTATTATGTCTCTGAGGCTGAGAAAAAGAGCCAGGCTTCTAAATGTTTAACTCCATATAATTAACTTTCAGAAAAAGGATGGATGCATTGTTCAGAACTCAAGAAGAAGAAAGAGTGAAAAGAGGCTTGATTTAAATGTACACGCATGAGTATCTATGTGTATTATATGTAAATGGTGCTTTTCAAGAATCATAGTAACCCCAGAACTATTTTTTTCTTTCATTATTTTGAGACATAGACTCACTGTATTTCACAGGCTGGTCTTTACTTCCTGGGCTCAAGCCATCCTCCTGCTTCAGCCTCTTAGGTAGCTAGAAATTGGGTTGGGTTACACAGAGCCCAGCTTCCCAGAACTCTTTATAACAGCCACAAGAACAAAGTGTAAAGAGGAAAAAAGAAGCCTGATTTAAGAGATTTAAGACTCAATTAGTCATGCTTGTTAAAATATCATGTCCACTCTCAAATCCTTCTTGCATCAGCATTAAGATGGCTCATGAGCAGAAGAAGTGATTTATTTCTGATTTTAGGCAGTTTGATTTATGCCTTACAGAAAGAAAGGACCTCCAATTGAGAAAAAGGCAGTTTAGACAGAATGCAGGGGCTCTCACTAAAGACTTCAGACAATTTGATCTCCTTAGGCCATAGGAACATCCTAGAGACTGCTGGTTTGAAGGATCTGGTTTTCCATTTTGGTTTATTCAAATTGAATTAAAATTGTTCCCATTCTATTCTCTGAATTCTAAGCTTCTTGGTGTCATCTGCAAATGGGGTAGGAATTTGAGAAAGGTTTCTTTAGGCTCATTCAGGTGTCCTTGAATGTACCAGTAACTCCTTATTAGGTAGGTTACTGGGTGCCTGCGGGTCTCGGTAAAAGTTTAAGTAAATCCAAGAATAGATTCATTTTTCTAATATGTACTTGTATTTTGTGAAATATGTACTGTGATTTTAGGTAGCATTATTTTTTATTGATAAAACATCAACAACAGTGAACACTAGGTTGAATGTAGGTTGCTGCAGCAGCAACTCTAAATAAACAAGGGAGAAGCTTGCATTGGCAGCTTTTGGGCTGAGATTTTGAGGACTGGCTTGAAAGCCAGCTGCTATTTTTCTGTCGCCTGAAGTTACACTTAGTATACATTCCCTCCATCACAGGGAAATCAGTCTTCAACACGAAGTTA